ACTTCCCTTGAAGTAGAGAGAAAAAAAAAAGGCAGGAAACTGGAAGAAATTAGTAACATTGAAGTAAAAGGAACATGAAAGATTCTCAGTCCATGTAACTCAAATAATTATAACGGGTAAATCTYTTGACTTTGCTCCTTCAATGTTAAAAGATTTTTTTCTTTTAGAAGAGACAAGATCAAATAGTTTAAGACTTAGATTGACCTACTTTAAGTTTCTTATGATTTTCTATGGATTAAAAGAAAATCATCCTATACATGTTTGGAGCCTGATCTTCCTCCTTAGATTAAACTTAAATGAAGGCAACCTTCTTTGAAGATGGTGAAGTTACTCCAATGTAAAATCGGCTCAGTTGTGAGGTAATCAGGCCAGTTAGTGGTACTACAGAACAGATGATGGCAGTTTTACCTGTGGGAAGCAGATAAAGTCACTTTAGTCTCTGCAGGATATCTCTCTCACAGCACTTTACTTCAGAGAGTACAATCAATAGAGTAAATACATTGGTCACATTCTAAAATTTGTACTTACCTAAGGCAATTATTAGCAGTTTGAGTTTCTAGTGTTCAAAATGCTTAAAGGGTAGATATGCAGCTTTGCATACTGACAGCCAAAGGATGGCAGATAGGCACATGAAAGCACATGTCATCTTAGTGAGAAAAAGAAAGAAAGTAAAATCAAGTCAAATATAGTTCTGATCAGCTTGGAGATGTCTTGCCCATGTTCTCTCCAATCTGTCTGTGTTTGAAAGATGATCATTACCATTGCCTAATGTGAAAAGTACATCTGTCTTCAAGCTGAGTCTTGTACCTCAGCATCAGGGCTTCAGATACAGCTGTTGATAGTCCCTTACTGACTGAATGAGTGGTGCAAATRTTCTACTTCCTCTTCAGAAAAAAGCTATACATCTCCTATTTGTCACTATGAAAAGTTATTACTGAAATGATACTTGGCTATTATAGTATACAGACATTGRTAACACTTTCATCCTTAAAGCTATATGGTACTAGTTCTTACCTCAGTAATACACGGGCTCCTTTCGACACACAGTGCAGTGCAGAAATCACCAGAACATCTCTGGAGGAGCTAGATGAAGTAATCTCTAAAATTAAGCAGATTCATAGTTTTCAGATGGYTAAATGAGTTTGCAGGGAGTACTGGGGTGCAGAGCTAGACAATTTCTGTATCTCATTTGCTGCTCTACAGGAACATCCATAAAGAACATTGGTCCACCTGGTATTGCTCCAGATCACCTACCCTCCTCCAGCAGTAGTTAGTTGAGTCTAGTGAGAATCATTAGTTCTATCCTTAGTTACACCTATGATCTTTGCATATAATTTCCCAGAAATTAAGTTATTTAGCTGTAATGAGAAAATATTTACATAGATGTTCTTAAAAGTGTCATTTTTCTGAAAATTGTGTGAAATTTTGAACTGCAAAATCTAGAAGAAAAATGATTTAACAAATCAAACCCAATTTAACTGCCACTTAAAATGTCATTAACTGATATAAATAACACATTACACATATAGAAGCATGTTATTTACTAACAGCTTCAGATAGCAAAGAATTCATTACTGGTTATAAAAAGAACCAGCTTTGAATTATACTGTCCAAATACATGCAGGAAATACTGCCTGATCAGACTCTATAAATCCTAAAATTTAATGGCTTCATCTTTTACATTCAAAAATAGAGAAAGTAGATTTTCTTCAGTTTTTCAGGGTAAAATTCTCCTCTGTGGAAGGATGAGCATGAAGCTTGGGCACCACTACCTGCACAATGCTACACCCAGTGATATGCAAACAATGAGATGCTTTTTACAAGGGAGTATAATAGCCTTAGTGTCTCTCTTTTTTTTTTTTTTTTTTTTTTTTTTCTCCACTTGAAACCATTGGTAATATTGGTACTGATCTGTAGGTCCTGAAACAACAGCTTACTCATAAAATGATATTGTTTCTGATCAATAGACCATATAGCTGGGGAATTTTCCCATGCTCATCATGGCATAGGTTTTTGGATTTCTCCTTTGCCTTGTATGTGTCTGTAGGGCACAAATGCAGATCTTACTCTAACATTAGGGACCAAATTTTCATCTGTTCTTTTGTTAGTTTAGTGAACTGAAGACCTTCAAGAAGGTACAAAATGTGTTATATAAAACCTGAGATTCTAAAMTTTGTGAGCCTTGCAAAAGTTCATTCCCGGTCTGATTAAGGTTTGAGGTCTATCAAAAAGGAGCTACAAATAATCCAAGAATTTCAAAACCAAGCATAGAAAATCATGACTTAATAGTGCAGACTTCTGTACTTGGCTCTTTATTGGAGCTACTATAAGAGATCATTTTGAGATTGGAATTGAACAGGACAGTAGCAGAAAACTATAAATTCTGAACTAGTATATTTTTTTCATTACTGAGAAGCAGAAAACACAGAAAAGCTTGTTCTGATTTTTAGACTATACTCTATTTTCCTTTTTTGGAGTGTCATGGAAAACATGGAAAAAAATTAAGCACAAAAAAAAAGATATAAAAATGGGATAGAAAAGAGGATCTATTAAATTAGGTTTTGAGATAAAAAATATATCTCATCATAGGGAAATATTAATAGTATATTAGAAATATTTGAATATGAATTTCTTTACTCTCACATGTACAAGTGAAACAGAAGTGTTAAGAAATAACTAAGCATTTATTTCTGAGCTAAAGAACTTCCAAACTTGCTGTTAAAAATAAATAAATTAAAATAGCTTAAAATGAAGCCTCAGGCTTGCCTCTCCTGAATTTACTTGCAGAATCGCAAGCAGACTTTACTAACACATGTTTGAGATCTGTAGGTAGGTATCCTCTAGGGCATCCATGCAGCTGAAACAGCTCGTGCAACAATATTAGCACATACTGCAGGTGCAATGGTTGGATGGTGAAGAGACTGCTGGAGGTCACCTAGACCCAACTCCTGCTCAACCTGGACATGGAATATACTGCTTAGGACCTTGTCCAGTAAAGATCTAAATACCTTCAAGGATCAAATTACACAAACAGGTAACCTATTATTGTGTTTGACCACCTTCACGATGATTTTTTTTTCAGCCTACCACTGGTGTCTATAACCTCTCATCCTAGTTGTTCACCAACTGTCTGACTTCRTCTTCTCTCTACGTCATTTGACAATGGGAGACTGCAGTTCAGTGACCATCACACTTCTCTTTGAAACTGAGCAAACCTGGTTTTCTCAGCTTCAATTCACATACCATGTGCTCCAGCCCTGTAACTATATAGATGGGGTTTTTGTTTTCCAGCATGCCAAATATGCATCCCTCTGTTAATCCCTGTTACACAGGAAGGGCAGGATTTTTTTTTTGTTTTGGCTTATAACTGGAACATCCATTCACTGAGTATAAAGAATAGGAAAGAAATGAACATGTGTATGATACTTTCTGAGTATGGTCCTTCTCTTCCATGTTCTGTTTCTGCTGCTTAGTGTAATAATTCCACAGCAAAGGTAGCTGTTCATCTGCAGCACAACTATTTTTGTGATTCCAGGCAAAAAAAAAAATTAGTACTGAGTTTAAATGATGAATCTGAACAACCTAGAACAAACAAGGTTGCTAAGAAGCCAAACATTATTTATCTAGGGAATTTAAAAATAAGAATATATTTAAAACTAGCTGTGTAAGGTATGGAAATAATCCAAGACACTCAAATAATCTTAATTCTGCTTTACTCCCTCATTTGGAGAGAAAAATGAAATATATGGTCAAACTACTTATTTTAGTCTGAGTTCACAAGCACTAAAATGTCAAAATCAGAATTGTAGGGTTCTGCACAATGCCAGAAAAGGGAAATACTGATGTTCTACTCAAGAGGAAAGTTATAATAAAAAAGTCATAAGCAGACATAGATTCAAAAATAATACTTGTTCAAGATTTCAGTGACTTAACCCCATTGTGAATATTGAACTTTGCCTTCCACGACATTCTGCAAGGTCCAGAACCATATTGTTTAGGCCATCTTGCCTCTCTGGGCACAAGATTGGCAAAGACATCTTTGCCAGCACAATCTGCCAAAACATTAGGGAGAAACATCAGCCTCCGTTGTCTTCATTTGCCTCGTCTCTCCTCACACAAAGTGCTCCCCAATAGAAGAATTCCAAAATAATATGAAAAATCCTGGTTTSGTGCAAGTAGTGTTTTTTTAATCAGAGAATAGAGAAATACTGCTAATCAGTTTAATTTAAAAAATATAAGCGCTTATAGACAGCTATACATTACAAGGATATACTCACGTACTTCATTTAAACATATATTTTGTGTGGTGCATGTAACCTTTGAAGTGATTGAAATTTACTATTAATATTAAACAGATTAAACATTTCCTCCTTTTCCCCTGTATTKTTTGCAAAAGGTCAATGTGCATTTTAACAAGATTCTCCTTAAAGTCGAGAAAGGTAAGAAGCAGAGTTTGCATGCAGAGAGTTCTGTAGTCAAATACAGAATACAAATTAAATAAAGGATACTACTTGTTTCATAAGTTTTCCTATTATTATATTTATAAATCTATTTTTTCTTTCCCCTCTGGCAGTGTCATGTGTCTACATTTCTTCAAGTGTTTAATTAGAGGAAATATGAAAGCTATAATCTAAGGATAATTAAAATCAAGATTTAAAATTCTGAATCACAGAAACATAAGGATAATTCAGTGCAGAAGCTATTGTGGAACTGAGCCATTGAATTAAGTCGAACATCTCYGACTTTTAAATCAACTTGATGATTCAGCTAAGTGGATTTTGGCAAAAGTTTCAGAAGTGCTAGGTATGACAGGAACCCTAGGTGTCATGGTGCATATTCCTGAGAAAACTTAGCCCAAGAGCTCATTCCAACAGTGAAATTCTCAACTCTGAGTTAAGTCAGAACTTAACTTCAGATTCACAAGAACATGCCAAGCACCAGGTGCCTAAATAGGCCAACATATTGTGCCACACAGGAGGATCTCTGAAAATGTGTCTCAC